TTGGGGAGAGCACGCACAGCAGCTCAGGAAGTTTGTGGTGGCTTCAGTCAGGGATATCCCTATAAAGTGCGAGGGTACAGCGACCTTTTGCAGTCATCTGTTGTCTTTATACCAGAGCACTCCACTAAGGCAAAAGGCGTCACCTCTTTTTTATGTGTGGGGAAACTGAGGCACGGGCTGGCAAAGGTGTTTGCCCAAGGTCAGACTTGGAGCAGGTGTTGAGGAGGACCCAGGCCTTTGGGGAATGCTGCTGCTGCCTTCAAACAAAGCTCTTGATCTCTGGGTTGCTTATTTGAATTTATTTATTTGTTGTGAGCTGCCTGGACCATGTCCAGGCCCGCTGCATCTGGGTGGACCAGTGGCTGAAGCTGGTTTTATCCAAGAGCATTGGGGAAGGGCTAAGAGTCCCTGTATGGGCTTCCTTGGCGAATGTCTGTACATACGACTCGACACCAGAGCCCCTCATTTGGGCAGAACCCTTGTGCTCCAGGGGCTGTAGAGACTCCGCGGGCTGCCGACAAGCCCCAGGGCGATGGTGAAGCCAAGTTTGGCAGGGGCAGGGACAGTGTGCGGTGAGAGCTGGGAGCTGTATGATGGGGGCAGGCGAGGGGTGAGCACGGTAGCTGTAGCAGAGCAAAGCCGTGAGGTGAGAGGTGGGGATCTCTGGAGGGGTGAGAGCTTCCCCTCCTGATTGTGAGGTGCCTCCCTGGTGTGGAGGGTGACCCCGAGGTCAGCAAGTCTTTTCATAGGACTGGAAAGCTTTCCCTGAGACCAAAGAGATGAGAAGGGGAACTGAGCAGCCCCTTGCAGGGGGGAAGGTCTCTAAGGCGACCACTCACTCAGCAGATTAATTCCCAGCCCCAGGTCTTCTCTTGGGACACTAGGAGTGGCTGTGAGCACCCTCATGTGCTGTCGTACGCCCATCACCAAAACAGAGCCAGGGAATAAATGCAGCAAGGAGAGGGGACATGGAGTTGCCTGTGATCTGGAAGCACTGGGAGCGTGAGAGCAGACTGATGTGGCAGCCAGGAGTGCCTGACTGCCCCTTCCCCTTTCCCATGACCTTGATCAAATCACTTCACCTGTTCTGGCTTTTCCTTCCCTCTCTGCACGATCCCACACCACTTGTCTGCTTTTCTCTTGTCTTGCCCTATGAGGCCTCGGTCCTCGCCTGGTTTTCCCTGGTCTCTTCCCAAAACTGAGCTGGGCAGCTGTCAGGTTTGGCCATGAGTCCCCTTCACCTGGAGAGGGGATGGTTCACCACCAGCAGCCCTGACTCCACAGCTTGGGAACAGACAAACCTCTTCAGAGAAGGCAAAAACCATCCTGAACTTTAGAGGCAGCCCAAACCCATTAGCAAGCTGGGAAAAGTCCGATTAACCTTTATTTCTTATAAAATGGCAAAGCTCTTGATTTCTGTGCCCTCCTGCAGCTTCTGATTTTGGCCAGACCTGGAGGAGCCACTGTTCCCCAGGTGCATTTCTGGTAAAGCTGGAGGAACCCTTGCAGGAGAGCCTGACCTTGCAGGCCTGGAAGGATTTGGGGAACCTTGGGATCTCTGAATTACCAGAGTAAATGGCTCCTTCCCACTAATGGACACAGCTCTAACCTGGCTTGTCCCCTCCACGAACCAGCTGTGATTCGCTGTGTAGAGCAGAAATGAGACTCGAGTCCTGTAAACGCCGTGGAGCGTCCAGAGTCAGGTGAGCTCATCTTCCCCTCCAGATCAGCGCCTTTGTCTGGGGCACCCTCAGCGCTCGGAGGCTGTGCTGCAGCCCTGTGCCCTGGGCTGGCAGCTGCCTGCGCTGCCCAGGTGTTCCCAAAAGGGCTTCTCTGATCTTGGCTGGTGGCAGCTCCTTTCTGTGTCCTGCTCGGTTCTTCAAAGCCTGCTGGTTTCCTTTTCTTCCCTTCATAGGGGAGGGAAGAGCTTCACCTGCTCGGCAGGCTCCATCCCCAGTGGTTCCCTGATATGAACTGAACAGAGGCTGAGGGAGGATCTTTGCCCTTCACCAGAGCAGGTTGTAAACCCATCTCGCACCAGCAGCCCTGACTGCTCACTGCCCTGTAATGGGCTTCAGCCACATCAGAGCCACCAGCCCAACCGTCCTGGAGAAGGCCATGCCGCTTGGATCGTATTGCTTCTCTTTGCAAGCCTGATGTCAGGGTCCTACAGGCTCCCTTTATTCACCAAACAGATGCTTTATGGTGTGCAGACCAGCAGAAGTTGGACCAGTCTCCATCCACCCAGGTCTACACTTGAGTTTCCTACCTCCAGGAAGCCAAATTGTCTTGTTCCACCAGGATCAAACACCACAATCCCTGTCCAGACTGAGAGATGGGAGAAGAAATTCCCATCGGTACCTAGCCCTTTGCTGACAGCATCCCTGCTGCAGGCAGCGCAAGCCTGTCTGCACACAAAGGTGGAAGCCCGAGGGACCAGTGCGATCTTGCCTCCATCATGGTGACACCAACGACTCCTGAGCGAGCACAGGAGCTTCCTGGAGCGCTTGGTCTGCAGTGGAGCTTGCACCAGGAAAATGCAAACCGCAAAGTGTCCTCGTGGGTGGAGAAGAGGATCTGTCACTTGAGAGAAATGTTTTAGCCCAGGCACATCTTTTCCCCCACTTCGCCTCCTATCTTCCTCCTTCCAGGCAGGAGGCAGCACCTCTCTGGGGCCTGCGTGTTGGTGTCTTCCATGTGCTGTGGCCGCCAGAGAAGCTTCCTACAAAACATCTTTTCTTCCAGCTTTGCTGGGATTCCTTGATTTTTATTTTTCCCCCCAAAGAGCTTGTTTTTAGGGGGCTGTCTCCAGCCATTTTAATTGTGAGGTTTAAGACTCTGCTGCTGCAATTGGAAATCAAGCGTCTGGATTCCTCTGGTGACTTCGGAAGATTTTGGCGTCATTTTTGCCTGATGAACGCTCATATGTGGCAGACACCAGAGCCAGAAGCAGAGGGGGAATCCTGCAGGACACCAGATGCTGTTAGCTCTGCTCCTCGCAATAGCAGACCTTGGAGATGTTGGCACAGTCGGACCTACGCTGGGGATAGGGTGCAGGTAGATGCCTGACCCACAGCTCCGTGGCACTGTGGGGGCAGCAGTGTCACATCAGGGGAGGCAGGACAGGAGAAGTGACCTCTGGCTGGCGCCTGGAGTTGTCTGAGTGTGTCGGAAGGAGAGGGACGGGGAGCCTTACCGAAAGTCCTGCGCACGAGTCTTAAGTACACCAGAGCAACATGGCTGGAGTCGTTCCCTGCCTTGCTGGGGTGGAGGGATCATTCTGCTGTGGTGCAGTAATTCGAAGCCATTGAGTTCGTTAGCTGGCAGCTCTGGAAAGGCTGGCGATGCTTCTAACTCCTTCCCTACTGGGGAAGGCAGCCATGAATGCTTTG